TCATTTTTTAAGAAAATAGTTTTGGTCGTTTGTCTGGAGCCATTTCCACTCTTTTTTTCTTTTCTGATTCTTTTCGACCCGGTAAAACCCACCAAAACTGAACGTGCCAAATGAAAAATATCTAACTCAAATAACAGTTTAGACAAGCCTCATCATGCATCATGAAAAGCATCATGCAACTATCGACTGAATAGTTGCATGCTATGAATACGTCCTAGATTTCAATAATTATCATTGTTCAACATTTTGGCTGGAACTGACGCTGCCTCTGGCTTGCCCGTTTGTTTGAGATAATGATTCCGTTCAGTCGCATTCTTGCCGGTTCCACATGAACAGGATACCACCATACCGGAGTGAACGCACCCGCAACCATCATCCCCTCCCCACAGCCGCCCTCGGCGCAGTGGCGGGCGGCCCTGGGCGGCCCACTCCCGGCGCTACGCACGCTCCATGCGCCGTGATACCGCGTCACTCACCCTCCCTCCTTCCCCCACAATGACCGGTGACCTCACTTCCCTCGGGATTTGGACTCGCCCTACCCCGACCGTAGCGCCACGTGGTGGCTCTGGAGATCTTAAATAGACCCACTGTACAAGGGGGCATACCTGTCGACAACTTGAGTTTGTCCGAATTTCAAAAACTCCCAGAATTTCAATTTCTTATGCACTGTTGTAGGTACAGCTATGTGCACAAGTTTTCGTTTTCTCCTGTTCTAAAAAGGATGATATTTCTCGATTTCGTGCGTCGCTGATTAGAGGGTGCGTTTAATAATAAGGCCCAACGCTTTCTGCATCCGCGAGTACCTTCAAAAGGGAACAACAGTTTCCATTTATTACACTATGGGACATGTGACAAAGACCACCGGAACACGCATAAAACGGAGCTCATATTCCTAAAATGTCTACAATCACTTCTTTTCTGACACTATTAGCAAATACCATCTCAAGTTAGGTGGTTGACAGACAGTCAATGAAGATCTGGGGAGACTGAGTGATGCCAATTCACCACTTATCTGATAATGAGGGCCGAGGGGAGAGAAACATGCAACATGCACAACTGACAACTTGACAAGTGACAAAACACTACCAATTTGCGCAGTGCACAACATATTACAGCGGCCAGCCCAAAAAATGCTTTTGGTGGCTAATTGCAAAACAACTCACTAATAAATGTCTTAGTTGCAGCTGAACACTGCACAATGATCACACTGTTCACGCATTGAGTGAGATGCCACAGTTGGTTTTAATCACACTTTGGTACAACTGCAAATCTGAAGTGTTGCCATGAGGTTCATGCCTCCATGATCACAGTACTTTGGTTGTGGTTGGCATAACACTTGTAGTCTGCAGAGTTCCACATGAACTGCAGACACCTCATCTGGTGGTCTTCATGTTGCTCAACTTCTTCAGGAGGCAAATGTCGACCACCCAGCGGAAGCATGGTCCTGCAGAAAAGAAAGGTAATGCATAAGGTACAAACTACAAACATTATCTGCTGAAACAGCCCCTTCTGTTGGCTGTTATTAAACTTTTAACATAACATAACAACATGTATTCCATGTATATTACATTTGTTGAAGCAAAATACTGCTGGCTATTTCAATACCAGAACATGAAATTATATTGTGGCATAATTCACCACATTCATAGAATATTTTACTTCACGTCACAAGGACTCACAATCTTTCTGTTGGGTGTTTGATTGACGCATTAACTAAGTTTGTCTTAGGTTTTATTATTACAAAAAAAAAATCATATTGCATTATTGTATCAAAATACTGCCAGCAATAACAAAACAAAAACATGAAATGTCAATGAGCAAGCCGCCTTTCCTAAAAATGGGTTACTTTGAAAAGAATTTTAGATTCTTTTAAGGAAAAGGAGAAATGATTATCAGGTAATTATCAGAAAACCACTTAACCAGCAAGTGGCTGGGTGGTTTCACAGCAAACATCAAGCCAAAACATATACTTACATTTATCTAACAATTGACCCATTTGATTACTACAAGGATATGTGAGCAAAATAAGAATCCAATTATCCAATGTTGACTTCCTTGCAAAGTTTATGCCTTATTTTATGAAAATGCATCACTAGAATATGATACTTATCATCGAATATTATTTAATTTACGATTTATTTCGATCGAAGCGCACATGGAGTCCCGCGCCATTTTCGTCGACGATGAATATGATCGTGTTTCATGAAGAGATAAGGGGTTTCAATGGTCTTTCAAAGCAATAATTTGATGCAAAAATTGGTAGGAAATAATACCAGTATAACGCCTTTTGGGGCGACTTACGGAGCGAGCGAGAGGGTGGGCCTTGAACGTGCGAACTTGCGAGGGGGTACCTCCAACTGACTTGTGCACGGCACCCTACTAACCGGTCTCTAGCGATGTACCAAATTTGGGCACAATCGGCCCAGCCGTTCTCGAGATCTGGAAGCGGCACCCTGCATGTGCGCACGTGCAAAATGGGTCCCAACTGACTTGTGCACGGCACCCTACTAACCGGTCCCTAACCGTGTACCAAATTTGAGCGCAATCGGTCCAGCCGTTCCCGAGATCTGGAAACGACCCCTGCACGTGCGCACGTGCAGCAGCACCCCAACTCTGGCACATGTATATGCAGTGCCTAGTGGGTGCCTACCTACATGCCAACTTTCAGCGCAATCGGCCAAGTAGTTACCGAGATATTGCAACAATTACAAAACTGACACCTCTTCGTTTTGCACGTGGCACGTGCATAAGGGGTCACCCACATGCATCGGGAATAGTCCAATACTTGGTAGAAGGAATGAAGCTACCCTACAAAAATTACCGCGTGTAAATCGGTCAAGTGGTTGCTGAGATATAAGCCTCGCAAAAGCGTGACCACGGGCCGGCCGCTCATACTCAGAAATTTCCGTTAATCTAAGGAAAGACTACGCTCGCTTCGGTCGGTCCGTAATAAAGCTGGTTCAAATGGCCATCAACCATTTAAAACACCGAAAATACTCACAACACCGCCCCGACGACCACGCAGCACCGCGCACGCCACACTACTGGCACAATGCCAAAACTGCTGTCACAGCAGAAATGTTTTTTTTTCTCGATTGCAATTGTGGAATTATTTATTAAACAGAAGATGATCTTTCCGAAAAACCGACTGATTTCATACACAGATGCATGGAAAATAAAAAAATCCCGGTAACTTTATTTGTATTGTTTTGTCGATTTTGACATGCTCCTAGTTTGCAGCCATATTTCGATATGTTCTACAGGGAGTTCAGAATTATTTCAGGGCCAATCTTTTCCTCGTTCATTTTCCCGTCGATCATGAAATTTTTAGAGCGGAACAATTAGTTTCCAGGCGGTCCGAGCGGTTTTCGTGAGAAGGGTGCAAAAATCGGCGTCATTTTTAGAGCCTCGACACCAGCTCAACACAGGACCCTATGGGAGACGGTGAAGTAGCGGGAGCAATAAATAGAGCGCTCTAATTTTAGCTTATTTCCCTGGTGTGTCACCGACTGATATGGAACAACAGGCCGGTTGGAGTGCGTCATTTGCCTGCGGTACCGCCCCACCACGCCGGGGCTGTTTGACAGGTCACCCGCACCCTGACCCCCCCCCCCCTCCACCTCCCCACCAGGCCCAGCTCGGAAGTAACCTCTCCTTGCATTTGACATGGACTCGACCAAGACTCAACGCCATCTACTGTTAACGCCAGACCCCTTGAGACCCTAATTTTTCGCGATTATTTTTAAATGCGTGGAAGAATTTCAACCAAGCTCAGGACATGGCCGTTTCAAGACCTGCCGAAACTTTAACAATTTAGATATTTTGTCGCCATTTCAATATTTCAGGCACTTCTCATTAACCCGTAATGTTAAATTTCGAGCAAGATTTTCACCCGGTGTGTAGAGGCTATCACCAGTCAGTCTGTGATACGTTATGACGTCAAAGCTAAGCCCCGCCTCTGTGGTCTTGGCCTGCGGCGGTTTCGGGCCGGCGCGCGGTCACTCGCGCTGTGGCGGGGAGCAGGGACGGTCGAGCGGTGCCGAAAGCCGGCGGAGTTGTGCGTAACGTCTTGTCTGACAGTGCCCAAAGAGCGACATGATGACTGAGGAGCCATAAATGCTCAATGCGCATTGTTTGTTCAATGCTGATAGGTTCGCTGATATTTGTTTTATTTTCATAAGCTGCAAATGACGGGCAGATGGCCCGTCATTAATATTTTTCCTGACATAACGTTAGGAAAAATATACCTGTATTTAAAGCCTATGGCGTTGCAGATAATGTGATAATGGGATGTCGGATGTCATCAAGTAGTTGCTGATTTGTACATGCTATGCAACCATCGAACAACGCAATAATTAGTTAATTGCCTTCGCTTCACACCATAAGGCTCGCTCGTATTTCAAACCCTATCCTACATCGAAAATCGTATTTGTTAGGAATCTTTAACGTTTGTTCGAAGCATGTGTGAGTAGTAGGTTTAGGAGTGATGGTTCTCTTGGTCCTATATACGAGAGTCAACAAGAGCCTAACATTTACTTGACCGTCTGCTGCAATTTGAATTGATACATAGCACGTGAAGCGTCAGCGAAATTCATAGTCCTTTACAGATGGCAGGGGTGTCGTGTGTACAGAGGTCGCTGATGGGCACGAGTCAATGCCGCAGTCGTGGGCGGAGCCTAATGTCATATAACGTATGAAAGCCTCTATCCAGGATGGAAAAACAGTTAACATTACGAGTCAATGACAAGTGTCACAAATATTTAAATGACAACAAAACGTATTTGAAGAAAAAGTTTCGGCAGGTCTTGAAATAGCTATTTCCTAAATATGGTTGAAATTATTCCACGCATTTAAAAATAATCGCGAAAAATTAGGGTCTCAACGGGTCTGGCGTTAACAGTAGTTACGTTTGGAGATGTTTACATAGACCCACTGTTGTATGTTAAGGTGTGAAACGTTATGATGCTGCGCGCTGATATGTGCGGTGTTGGCTACGACAGGCGCAGGGTCCCATCGTGCCGCACACCATCGTCACGCTGCCAAATACCAGCGGCAGCCAGCTGTTGCTCTGCTACGACAACGAGGGGGTCTACGTCAACACCAGCGGCAAGGTGAGTGAGTGAGTGAGCGAGCGAGTGAGTGAGTGAGTGAGTGAGTGAGCGAGTGAGTGAGTGAGTGAGTGAGTGAGTGAGTGAGTGAGTGAGTGAGAGAGAGAGAGAGGGAGAGGGAGAGGGGGAGGGAGAGGGACAGAGGGAGAGAGAGAGAGAGAGAGAGAGAGAGAGAGAGAGAGAGAGAGAGAGAGAGAGAGAGAGCGAGAGAGCGAGAGCGAGAGCGAGAGAGCGAGAGCGAGAGAGCGAGCGAGCGAGCGAGCGAGCGAGCTCGGCCGGCGGCGCTGCGCGGATGGCCAGGACGCCGCACTATCCCGGCAGCTGCTGCTGCTGCTGGGTTGGTTCCACCACTTGTTGGGGACGGGGGGAGGCGTTAAACGTCGCCAGCCGATAACTCGGGAAACAATAGGTGCAGCGTAACGGGCTAGGCCGCAAAGTTGACACTTATCGCCCTATAGAGACTATGGGTCGCTCCATTTTTTTTTTTCAAATACCGGAATACATGTAATGGCACTCGGTGAGCGTACCCTATACTGTAAGTTTGAATGAAAGTGATGCAAAGCCCTTCATAAAATAGCGTCATTAAAGTGCTGTTTTGACAATGTACCGGTTTCGGTGACCTGGGGCCGTATTCACGTCGACTTCGTAAGTCGATTTTTTTCGTAAGTATGTATAATTTGGTATTCACGTCAACACTTCTTAAATTTTTATCGACGGAGTTCACGTGAATAAAAAAAAATACTTAAGAAGTAGGTCAAACTTAAGAAAATTCTTACGAAAATGATCGACGTGATTACGGCCCCTGGGCCCAATCTTATAAAGGTTGTGCTACCAAATGCCGTACTATCATTCCACGCCACTCTATTTACGGCACCCTATTTACGCAATCTTATTAAAAGAATAGTATGGTAATTCTATTCACGCCATTTTGCCCACAGTACAAATCAACGCCAGCAGGAAACACGCAACGTGATTGATCAATGTCTTGTCGCCGTCGCTATTGGAAATTATGCGTACTGTTTGCGAACAGCAAAAGCTATGTGTTTTAATTTTTATGGGGCATTTATTTCTTTTAGAGACACGCATATGTGTAATGAATGAATTATTTATGGAAAACGTGATAGCAAACTATGGAAAACACCAACGTGCTTGAAGAATTCTCCTGAAAAGTGGATTGCCGACCAAATAAATTTCAGCGTGAGCATTCTCGCGCTCAGAAAATCGAGTGAATAAAGTTTTTCTTCCACTTATCATTTGCATTTACTTGCTGTTAAGGCATTGCAATAAATTTGTTAAAGAATTATTTAAATCATCATTTAATTACAGCTCGGCTACGCTTTCAGTAATTGAAGTAATGCCGTTGGCAATGAAGCTCCTACAATTTGAGCATCAGGATGCGTACATTAACTGCATCAATTCAAATATAGCTTATTTTCCTGCTTGTCATAAGCTCTTGAAATTTTCATTCTTGAAGATAAAGCTACTAAAATTCGAAGATTACGTACATGAACTGAATTAGGTCAAGCTACAGCTTATTTTCTTTCTCATTCAAGCATAGGTACGGGGTACCTTAACCTACCTATTACCTAACCTAAAGCTAAAAAGCAATTCCTCAAAAGATTGAAGTACCCAGTCTACATATCAAAGCTATATCAAGAAAAATACCTGGTTCAGAAGTCAGATCGAGATGCAGGAAGAGAAACAACAGATTGGTCACTGATCAGTAACTGTGCCAAACAGAAAGTGAGGAAATACGAATAGTGAGTAGGCATTTACAATTTTTGACAAACTAAGGTATATCATCATTGATTTAAATATCTAATCAGAAGCCATGAAGTGCCCGTTATTTGTGTCATACGTGAGACGTGAGAATAGGCTAAAGACCCATACCGATTCTGTAATGCAGTGGCTGCCGAAAATCTAAGACAGTTACTGGTGCTAAAATCCTTAAAATCTATCTATATCTTACTTAATAAATTTCAAGTTGTCTGCGTGTCCGTCAGCCGTATGTGTCTTCTTGCGCCGGAACGGCGCCGCGTATCGACGTGAAATTTGGTGACCACAAACTTTGGGTGGGGTGGACCATCGTATTAAAATATGGGCGCAATCGGACCAGGGGTGCGGTGTCAGGGCCTGCATCTCTGCCCCAGGCTGGGCGAGGCCGGCGCCGAGCAGAGGGCACGTGCTTTAGGCTCAGTTGTTCGCTTAAAAAACTGAGTTGAAAGCATCAGAGCCGGCAGGTCATTGACCTTTGACAACGAAGGCCGACACAAGGCACCGCTCGCCAAGAGGATTCGCCAGTAAATACAATTAATTTGTTTTCGCAATATCTCAGCCGTTTTTGGGCCGATTTAGCTGAAACTTGGACTGTCGGTGGTAGTGTAGGGTAGGTTAGGGTAGGGTAGGGTAGGGTAGGGTAGGGTAGGGTAGGGGTAGGGTAGAGTAGGGTAGGGTAGGTTAGGGTAATGTAGGGTAGGGGTAGGGTAGGATAGGGGTAAGGTAGGGTAGGGTAGGTTAGGGTAGTGTAGGGGTAGCGGTAGGGTAAATCGCTCGAATGAGTTTCGTTACGTGATGCGTCGTCTCGTTATGCCTTCTTCTTTTATCTTCTGTGCTACTACCTTGTGCAGTTTGAAGAAGCCCGTTGATATGTTGGTAGCGTCTTCTGTTTGGATGTAGGCCGCCTCAAACATCCACCTCTGGGTCTTGCTCAAGTCGCTGTGGAGAACTTCTGCTGCGTTCCAGTTCGGAAGGTGGCCTTGTTCGTCGATGTGTATCACAAGAGCGTTCGTTGTTCGGCGATTTCGTACGTCGTTTCTATGTTCTCTGATTCTTGTTTGAAGTCCCCTACCCGTTTCTCCAAAATAGGCCTTGTCGCACCTGCCACATGGGATTTTGTATACGGCACTGTTCCTGTTTTCTGTCTTTTGATTTGACTTCTTTGTGTGCTGTCCGATCTTCTTTCCTGACTTCGTGACCAGACTTAGATGTGGTGTCATCTGCCTCCGTACTGTGTCCGTGTGTGTGCTGTATGGTACGACTAACACTGTTTTTCTACGACGTGTATCTTGTGACTGCTCGCTGTCCATGGCTCTTCTTCTGATCTGTTTCGCCTTTCCTTGTAGAGTGAGCAGCAGTGCTTCTGGAAATTTAAGCTTTTTGAATGCCTCTCTGATATACAGTAGCTCTTGCTCCAAAAACTCTGTCGAGCAAATTCTGTACGCCCTAAGAAAAAAGCCAATGACCACTCTCCGTTTTGTTCGCTCGCTGTGGGCTGAGTAGTAATGAATAAATCGTCCTTATTGGTCGGCTTGCGGTAGACTGAAAAGCGAAGTTCTCGTCCAACTTTCCTGATTACCACGTCTAGGAACGGAAGCCGTCCTTTCGTCTCTTTCGCCAACGTGAACTGGATGGCCGGCTCCACCCTATTCATGCGTTCCATCAAGTCCTCTGCGTCGGTCGTGTTAGGAACGAGAGCCAACATGTCATCAACGTACCTGTATAAGGTCGTGGAATCACCTAAAATGGGCAAGTAGTGATCCCTTTCGAGAAGTTCCATGTAGAGGCTGGCCAGAACTGCACACAGAGGTGATCCCATCGCGAGACCATTGATCTGTACGAACTCCTCTCCCTGGAATTCGAAGCTACCAAATTGGACACACAGCTTAACCAGCTCAATGTAGTCGTCTTTTGACACAGGGAGCTCGGTGCTCTCTTTTAGATCTAAGACTTCTCTCACTGCTCTTATGGCCCCGTCTATGGGCACATTTGTAAAAAGAGACTTGACATCAAAACTGACCATGTTTTTGTCACTCATATCTTGCTGCTTGAGTCTATCTAAGAGATCGGCTGAATTTTTCAGATGAGTCGGACTCAAAATCCCCAAGCATTGCGTCAAGGGTTTAGCCAAAATTTTCGCTAGTCTATGCGGGGCACTGCCGATGCCTGAAGTGATGGGGCGCATGGGTACCCCTGGTTTGTGCGTCTTCGGTTGCCCCCTCATCACTGGTGCTCTGGGTTTCTCTTCTAGCAAATACTGAAGTTTCTTCCCTGAATCTGTCCGTCGTAGAATTTTCCTAGCTTGGGTTGTGAACTTCTTCGACCTGGTATCACATGTTCCTCGCTGTACCGGTTCAGATGTGGTACGGTCTTCAAGCATAGCTTTCATTTTCGCCACATACTCTGTTGAGTTCATAACCACTACTCCCCCACCCTTATCGGCTGTAGTTATAACAATGTTCGGATCCCTTTGTAACACGTGGAGAGCTTCGATGAATCTCTTGGGAATGGACGGAGACTGTGTAGCCGCTAGAGCCGTCATGCAGATGGTGACGCCCTGCTTGAAGCCCTTCTCCATTTCTGTCTCACCGTGTCTGTGATTCTTGGCGATGAAATCCTGTAAGCCTTTTGTAGGGACGCCGGTATCAAACTTGAGCCCCAGGGAGAGCACTGCCGTCTCGGTGTTAGTCAAGATTCGGTCGGACAAATTGGTGAGCAGAGATTCGTTGCCTGCTTTGTTCCATGGGCTGGATTCGCACAGCATGTTTAGTTTTCTTTGGAGATTAGCTCTGTGTTCAGCAGATTCCGCCTTCAGGTGGTTCTTGAGATGAGTTGGGAGCGTTGCTTCAGAGGTTTGGTTCTTTATAATTATGTTCTTGGAGCCGGCCATCCAGGGTGGATGGAGCCGGCCATCCAGTTCACGTTGGCGAAAGAGACGAAAGGACGGCTTCCGTTCCTAGACGTGGTAATCAGGAAAGTTGGACGAGAACTTCGCTTTTCAGTCTACCGCAAGCCGACCAATAAGGACGATTTTATTCATTACTACTCAGCCCACAGCGAGCGAACAAAACGGAGAGTGATCATTGGCTTTTTTCTTAGGGCGTACAGAATTTGCTCGACAGAGTTTTTGGAGCAAGAGCTACTGTATATCAGAGAGACATTCAAAAAGCTTAAATTTCCAGAAGCACTGCTGCTCACTCTACAAGGAAAGGCGAAACAGATCAGAA